ACCCCCCTTCCCGACACACACCTCATTTCGACATCTTTTTCACGTGATTGCAATCACCACCAGCAACATCAATCCAGCTGACCCTTTCAGGTGATAAAGAACGACAAAACAAAATTTAAAGCGTTCCTTATGCTAACATAAAAAGAATAGTGATATGGTTCTAGGAGGGAAAAGCCATAAAATGCTGAAAATATGCATTTATAAGAGCAAATATACCTTTTTATGCATTTATGTTTTTTTTCTTGAACAAAAGTTACAAATGGCAAAAAGTGCTAAAATATGCAATTGCATATGCACGCATGCAATTGCATATTATCCGCTGTCTAGTTATTATTGTTATTTATAGAGTAACTTTTACATCAAGAAAAGTATTGATTTCTATAAATTTTGCACGCTGAAGCTTTTCCTCGGGATCACCTTCACATCTAATACAGAAAAATATACTATTTGTAAAATTTATTATACAACTCCACTGAAATCCAATTTTATTTTCTTGCGACATACAAGAAAATAGTTCTTAGTTTTAAAAATTTTATTGGTAAGAACATCATTGGATTACAAATCATTTGAAATAGGAAGGAATAATATAGTAAATTTAAAAAATAATTTTTGAAGCATATCAGTTTAAGCAAAAAACTTTAATAGAATATACTGAAAATATCAATGAACAAACTTATATAAGATCTCATTGACTGATTTCTAGCATCTAAAAAGAACAGAATAAGAACAAAAAAGATTAGTGGAAGAAAACTGTAACAAAGATTTATTAATATTTTTATGTAAAATGCATATACGTTATGCAGTATTAACATTAAAATTTTACGATATAACACAAAAGAAAGAATCTTAAACTGTTTAATAATAAAAATATAATTTGAAATTTTATCTACAAAGAATATATAATAGCACATCATCTCAGATTAAATGTTTAGAAAATATTTAAAAAGTTTTGTGTAGCAATTTTACATAGGCCACAGTAAAATGTTATTAACCCAGTAAAACATACTGCACATTTTTTTTTTTTTTGAATTTGCTTCCATGATAACCCCCCAAAAAATTTAGAACAAAAATCATAATTAAGATTATTAAAGTCCTAATAAGATTAATTAAGATAATTAAGTAAGTTAAGATAAAAAAGTTATAAATGATTATGAAAGTCCCTTTTAAGGCCAAAACATTTTCCTCTGAACACTTTAACTACCGCTCTTTATGCTTCCTCTTATGTTACGATTTTTAAAGTATGGATCTTCAGCATGCTTAATGAAAACTTGACAGGTTGTTTGCAATGCAGAAGAGGAGACAATGAATAAATTCTGTCAACCTATAAAAGATAAAAATACATCATTTAAAAGTATTTAAAAAAACACACATATAAAAGGTTTTTTTTACAATTTTTTCCTCATAATTGATTAAATTTTTTTAATATGCTGCTACATTACATTATTATCATTAGACTCATATTTTTCTCGTAATTTCTATAGAATTAGTGATTAAAGTTTGTGAAGACATCCGCTTCTTTAAAAGTAGCTCTAAACTGTTTACTAATACAATTTCAACTACTCCCCCATATAATTTACACAAAATTTTAATACAATTTCAAACATAAAAAATTCTTAATTTTTTAAGATGTTTTAGTAAAATTAATTGTTGAAAAGAAAGAGAGTTTCAAAGTGGTCTACACCACGTAAAATTAAAATGTCTAATTAATGTTCATTAAAAAAGAAATAAACAAATTTAAGTTATGCTCAAAATACAAAGCTACTACTCTTTTTTATTTTAAAATAATCTATTTTAATAGCTTAAAATAAGTGCCTATTTATGAGCACTCGAATCCTGCAGACTGTTACTTTCAATTTGTATATTTTTGAGATAAATGAAGTTATCAATCAAGCAATACAATTAATATAAACTTCTCATTATTATTAAAACAATATTTGTAAAATCCATGAATTAAAAGTTAAACTTTACTTTGACTGAACTTGAATTTGATGAGCACAATGAGATATAGGCTATATACATGGTAATTCGTGAGGATTGCTCTTAATATATCTTTTTAAATACCTTATCAAAAAAGTAAAAAAAAAAAAATACACATTTGGGTATAGCAAATTAGTATTTAATGAAGGGAAAAAAATGTTATCAAAATTTGGCAAATCACCGTATTGGAAAACAAAAGAAATATACAACAAGGCACCTTTGACTGAAAGGAGAATCAGACAGGATTGGAGAAAATGATTATTAAAAAACACCCTCTAATTTTAACATCCAATTAAACTTGCTTTCATGTTAATTATATCTATACTAGGAGGCTCCGCCCCCTGCTGGCTAACGCTCGCCAACCCCCGAGAATTGCTACGCAATCCTACGTGGTTCACGCCGTGAACCATGGCTCGCTGCGCTGGTTCGCCAATGAATACAATGTTCTAGCACAAAGACATGGTATATTATCATCAAAGATATAGTATTTTATCAAAGACATTGTATTGTACTTATGTAGAAGAATTCTATCAATGCTCTTATTGGCTTTTAAAAAAGTATATTAGCTATTTAGATTCTACATGGTGAAAAAATCAAAACATTAGCTAAATGAGAAACATATTAGCAAAATAAATTATCAAATATTGCAGTTACTCACCTAAATTCTACTAAATGTGTATAATAAATTAGTTAATGCTAGAAATTCTGAAAGTTTTAGAAAAAAATTTTATTATTTAAAAATATAAACTTTAAACCCTAACTTTTCCTTGTGCGATAATAACCCTCAAAAAGTCTTTCATTTTCAAGAACACAAAAGTTTGTTTTATCGACAAATGAAATATTTTTTGGTGATCAGCATTATTGAAATCAATTTCTATATTAATTAACATTTGTGTTAAAGTACATAACATTTTGGAACAAAATTTATTGTTTTACATACAATAAATTAAAATGCATGGCTGTTAGCATTACCCGAGAAATATCACGTGGAGGTCGCCATGCTGCAATTCTAATCGGGGAGAATTTTGATTTTGGCAGCTCCCCTTGCTTACTGCCAAAAGAAGTTTCAATTAAATTTTTTCCAAAAAACATTTTTTTCTGCAAAGCTCTAAGAAATTAACACTAAGCATTTAGAATTTCTTTGAAAACACAATTATAGATTTGGCATCTTGGAGCAATTATTGAAAGGCTGTCAAATGACTTAACTCTTGTTTCGTCAATACTAAACTGATTTTCTCAAAAGTCTGACCTTGTGACTTATTTATAGTCATGGAGAAGGCCAGAAGGTGTTAGAATTATTTTTCACTCCTTGTATGTTAAAAATTGTAAATTTTTTTTTCTTTGTTTAGATGATTTTAATTCCTGTACGTTTATAATTCTTCTATGTCAATTTAAAATTTATATTAATATCAGCCGTCGAAATTCCAGATTATTTTTGTACTTTGTCTGATAAAATTAAATAAAATTATTAAACTAAACTTGGCTATTTTTATTTTGTATATATATTTAAGAGGAATTATTGTGGAAGTAGTTTTTGATTATCTTCTGTTATCTTTGATTTTATAAAGAAAAGAAAAGTCACTACTATTGGAGTAATTAAATTTTAAAATTTTTGGTATTTTCTTTACAATCCGGATAGGTTAAAAAGAAGAAAAATTCGCTTTTTTTTTTTTTTTTTTTTTTTTTTTTTTTTTTTTTTTTTTTTTTTTTNAAAAATTTTTTTTTTTTTTTTTTTTTTTTTTTTGGTCACAAACAAACGCATTGTTTTATTGATTTCCAGAATATATTTATTATTCACAGGATCCTGAAAAGTGACACGCTTTGCTAAGAAATAATTCAGAATAAATTAAAAAAAGTTTGTTAGTTTCACGGCTGATAATTTCTCTATATTTTAATAACTTTTTAAATTGCTTTAGTGATGCTCTCTGAATAGTAAAAAACGTATAAAGAAAATAGGAAACATATAAAAAAAATATCCGTAAAATTGAATCGGGGAATGCACTGTTGCAATAAAAATTAATAAGCAGCTTTAGTTAAAAATATAAAGCAATATAGTATTATATTAATGTATTGTAACATTTCTAATCCTTCTTTAAAATAATAATTGCAAAAAATATAAAACTTCTCAAATTAATGCTAGTTCACTCCTTTGAAGACTTCGCCGTGCCAAACCTCCCATTTTCGCCTGTGACGTCACGGTGGCGCAAAGCTTGAACAAGAATGAATGACAAGAAATGAATTAGCTACGGTTTTCGTGAAATATTAATTGGCGATCGCTACGCTCGAATACGCCATCTGGGGAGAGACCGGTTTCATGCTTTTGGCCCTTTTCCCTTCCCTCTCCTCCTCTTTTCAGTTGTATAGGAATGTACTATGATATTTTCCTTTTTCTTAACATTTTTCCTTTTTATTTAATAAAAATATATTTTAAATTTCCAGGATGCTTTTCTTTAGAACTATGTTTAATGTAGTTTTCAGTTCCACATAGTTTTCCAACTTAAAGGATTTTAATCTATATGAAAATCAAGAGAGAAACTAGCATACTTCCTTCCTCTATGACTCTCCACAAGCTAATGGGGAAAGCATGTGAAGTGTTGCCATAGGTAGAGAGTTCTGCTCTATGATATACATGTATGTATATATATATATATATATATATATA